GCAGCTCGGCCCCGCCCGACGCAGCGATGAAGGTGGAGGCGATCAGCGACAGGGGGGGCCAGAGCAGGCAGGCCATGGGGGCACCCCAGGCCGCTACATATCCGATCCCGAGGTCAACTCGGGCAACTCTATATATCCGAGGCGGACGGGTCGTCCGCTCGGGGCGCGCGCAGACAGAATTACCCTCCTCGTTCTTCCATCGTTTCTTCTCCTCTCACCGTCCGAGAGGTTTTCGGATCCCCCCCGGGATCCAGGGGGCCTTTCGAGGGCGGTTTCCCCCGGGGGCCGACGTCGGGGATTGGGCCGCGCAGATACTTCGGGGTCATTGAGAAGAGGGGCGGCCTTGAAAGACTCAGACAGAAATCCTGGCATTTGGTAGCTGGCCGTGGGACTGCAAGAGTGGTCGCTCGGCGTCTTTAGAGGGAGTCCCAGAGGGGGCCGACTGGGAAGACAGGAGTCTCAACGCATCCGAAATTCAGGGGTTCCGGGCTCGTTTCGCTCGACGGGCCAGGGCGGAGACATCCGGTCACTTTGATGTCGAGGGGCATCGGGGACTAAGGATCACGGCGAACATGCCCGAAAAGGATTTCCACTGTCGTCGACTCGATTTGGGCAGGGGCATCAGCGTCCGAGATAGCGAACAAGCTGGGGGGCTTCGAGAATTCTGACTTGGCGATCTGTGTGGGCCTAAGCTGGGGCCCCGGCTAGTCTGCCTAGGAGCTGGTCTCTGCTGGAAAAGCGTCCGTCTCCCAGGAGGTCTTTGGCTCAGCCGCCAGTCTTTGTTCCTCGTCGGGCACGAGAAAATGCCCTGATCACTCTGGCGGGAAAGGGGGCGAGAGCCATTCAAAAAAAGAAGTAGGGCGGGATGCCATCCGTGAGTTGGGCCACCAGAAGAGGGCGCTGATCCTGGAACTGTTCCCCCCCTGAGTCGCGCCAGAGATGGAGAGGACAGGGTTCGCGACTCCTCGCGCCGTGGACCTTCGTGCCGGTTGGGATCTAAGACGGGCTCAGGAAAGGAAGAGGATGTGGGATATGAGAGTGTCCGACCGTCCCGAGGTGATTCTTATGGCTCCGCCGCGTCGAGCAGTTTCCGTGGCCCGAGTGCCGAGCTGGAATGAAATGGGCCCAGGTGAAAGGGATATCATCGAGCAGGGGGGGATTTCCTTTTGGGGGCTCGCGGCGCAGGTCGCCATGCGCTTGATCTCAAGGGGCCGCGCACTTCGGATGGAAACCCGTTTGGGGCCTTCTCGAGACAGCTGAAAGTCCACCGAGGTTCTCCCGGGGCAGCCGGGGGTCAGGGAATCCGAGGGGACTGGTGCGACTTTGGCCTGGCCGCCCTGGGCGGCGGCTTGGTTCGGAAACCCACTGGGTTCATCTCGAACCAGCTTCTGGAGAAATGCGACCGCTGGGAATCGCTCTCACTCTGTTCCTGCTGGCGGCGCCGGGACGTCGGCCGCTGAGCGATTTCTTCCTGCCCTTGTGAACACTCTCGCGGAGGGCGTCGAGCAGGCGGCGTTCGGCCGCGCTGGGGAGTCATCATGTCCGTCGGCCGTCGCCGAGCCATCGGCGGACCCAGATGCCCTCGACCGGGGAGAAACTGACTCTGAAGACGAACCCGAGACCCGCGGGCCCAGGGCTCTCCAGGGGTTTCCACGGCGCCTTCGATCTCCAGGGAGATGCAGGAAGAGATCCGTAAGATGCACGTTAACCTGGGACATCCGTGAAATGGGCATCGGTTAGAACTCTTAAGGTCGGGAAGGCAAAAAGGGAGGTGGTCCAGTGGGTCCTGGACTGTTTGCGATGCCTGGCCCGTGCGTCAACCTCTCGTCCCGGGCGGAGAAGGAGAGCTCGTCTTCCCCGAGCCTGCATATTTAACGAGTTGGTCGCGGCCGACGTGTTTTACGTTCAAGTCCTTGGTTCCACTCATCCAGTGCTCAAACTTGTACGTATGGAGTAAAGGGGGATAGAGACAGAGAGAAACAACACATGAAAGAGAGAAAGAGAGAGAGAGAGAGAGAGAGACAGAAAGAGAGAGAGAGAGAAACCAGACACAATATTATGAACACACACACACATACACATACATACAGGTATACGTATATGTTCAGATTTTGGCTGAGAGGGAGGGAGGGTGACATATATATGTATATAGATATGTATATATGTATACATGTATGTATACAAACATGTATATATATATGATAGAGAGAGATAGAGAGAGACAGAGAGAGAGAAAGAGAGAGAGATAGAGAGAACAAACACACACATATATGTATACATACACATATATATACATATATATATATATATATATATATATGTTTATACCGATCGAGACATCAAGTTCCAAAAGGGCCCCAAGTGGACCCCATGCCATGAGAAGCAAACGATCTCGCGCTCTCTGAGGAAAGGGGCGCTTTCCATCCCCGGCCCAAGCAGGGTGAAGCGCTTCGCGCACTCCGCCGGCCCATCTTGTCGTTCTTGGCATTTGCTTGGGGAAGTTGTTTTCGATGTTCGTTCCCCCCGTCTGTCGTGTGAAGCTCGCGTGGGGGAGAAGCAATCGCGTGGTTAATTGGGTGCTACAGTTAAGGGAACGCGTCCCGCCCCCCGCGCGATCGCCATCGAAACCCGAAAAGGCGAGGAAGTGAGTGACAACCCCTTCTTGAGCTGTCAGGGCATCTTGGGGAACCATGGGATCTTGACGAGAGTTCTGGAGGCCTCCAAAGGGACTCTTTGGGCCCCGTGGGGCCTCCTGGAGACCGTCTTGGATAATTTCGGGCCACCTGTAGGATTCTTGGGGGCTGTTGTGAACCATCTTGGGCCACCTTGGGATCATCTTGAGGCCTCTTGGGATGCCTCATGGCAATCGTGGTGCCTGCCTCCCACTGGTCTCCGCTGTTGGGCCGCTCTTGCGCCCCTGTGGAGCCTCCCAAAGTTGAGGCCCTTCGGGTTTGCACTGGAACCATCTTGTTGCTTGCCTCCCCCCGCTGTTAAAGCCGCTCTGTGGCCTTCTCGGGCCTTCTAGGAGGGTTCGGGATCCTCGAAAGGCTCTTTTGTGGCCGTGTTGAGACCACTTCGGGGCCCGAGGCGCCCATTGAAACCCGAACAGGCATGCATGCTAGCATATCTGAAAGATGCAAGTTTTTCCAATGCCTTTGACCCTCTTGGGAGCATCAGAGGAAAGGTGCTTCGACCATTTTTGGCCGTTTGTGCAGTCCATGGGGCTGTCTTGCGCCATCTTTGGCCATCTTGGGGCCACCTTGGCACCACTTCGGAAACATCTTGAAGGCCATCTCAGGGCCAACATGGGCCTGACACGCTTTGACCCGCAATCTTCAGGCGTTCTTGGCAGGATTTCGCCCTGACTTCGGCCCCAGTGCCGTCCGCAGACCCGCCAGGGCGCCAGGGCCGCCCTTGCGAGCGCGGACTACGTACGTAAACACTCCGACCTGAGTTACCTGCATGAGTGATCTCACTACCTAACACGCCGTTGGCCCGTTGAACTGGCGGTTTCTCACTGTATGCCTCGTCCTTCGCGCCTCCTTCGCTCTCGTCCTTGCCACCCCGCCGTCATCGTCGTCCTGCTACTGTTCCTCCACCGCCGTCGTCGTCTTCCTCTTTTTCGCACGTGTGGGTGCTACGCGAGCTCCGAACTGAGTGCTCCGTTGCCAGGGCCACGTAAGGCCCCGTGCAATCTCATGCGCCGTCGATACAGCGTCTTGAGGACGGGCAATGACCTGAGGATTTGCCGACCAACTTGAGGACTTCCTCGCTGATGTCGCATCGCGATGGGGCCCATTCCATCCCATTCCTCCTTGCAACATGCTCCTCCTCGTCCACCTCCTCACCCCGCCTGCGTCTCCCCCCCCCGCGGTGCCCACCCGAGGACCCAGGGCTCTTTGGCCGGGTCCCGGCACCCCCGCTGCGCGGGCCGCGCGGATTTCCTGTGACCGCTGGGGCGCGCGCCAGGCCCTCGCCGTGGCTGGCCGCGCGAAAGGGGCGACAGCGGTGTTGGGGGGCCTGGTTGCTGCTACTGCTCTTGCCGATACCGTTGGCCTTGCTTGTCTTCGTCGTCGTCCTCCTCCTCCTGCACCATGCTGGTTTATAGCGGGGCCCGATGGGAGTCCAATCGCGGTACGCTGCACGGGCGCGTCTGTCGTAATTGAGAGGAGCTCAACCAGCAGCATGCATCGTTCTCTTCCATTTGGGTACTCATCGCGTCGGTGGCACCAATTTTGCTCTACGGCACTCTCCCGTGCCTACGCGCCGCGCGGATGAGGGGATGGATTGTCACTTCCCTCAGACCTCTGAGCTGCTACTCCAGCAGTTGCAAAGCGCGCTATAGCCCGTAACTATTCTCTCAGCAACGATCTTAGCCTGGCCAGACTAGGCAGCCGAGGTCCACTCACGCGCTCGCCCCGCGCCAGCAGATCGTCTACCCACCGTCAGCACCGTGCCAGCGGTAACGACGGCAGTCCTACCTGTCGGACTCTAGCTCCCGCAAGGACGGATCTTACACGTCCCACGGTTCTGACATACTTGACGGCTACATCTCCTTTTACACCACCACCACCACCACCACCACCACCACCACCACCACCACCACCACCACCACCACCACCACCACTTCCACCACGGCGACACAGCGCCACCTTGGCGACATGGCTCCACCACCTTCACATCTCGCATCGACGTAGATCCCACGATCGCATCATCCACGACCCGAGCTCCACGGACTGGGGCACCGCCCTCGACTACGCCAACTCAGCTAGCCGCTCCAGTCAACCAAGGGTCGTGGGGGCGGGTGGAGAGAGCAAGACGAGCGAGGGGTGGGAGTAGGCGGAGGAGGGAGGAGGGGGGATGAGTCACCAGCAGCAACAGGCAGGAGGCACCTGGCATGAGGGAGGGAGGAAAGGGGGAAGGAGAAGGGAAGGGAGGGGGGGCGGGAGAAGAGGATACACAGACGCAAGAGAAGAGGAATATAGAGAGAGAGAGAGAGGCAGGGAGACATTCGCCAGCTCAGCCCATCTTGGCTCGCCGTCGGGTCAGCGCGCATGGCGGACGCTGTCCCCGATGCTGCGGCAGCCTCCGCGCAGGGCTGCTGGTACGACCGACCAGGCAGGGCTACCGACGGCGTCGTCGTTTGCGGCCGCTTGCGCCTGAGGGTGTGCGAGCGGCCCAGCGCGGCCGTGGGGACCGGGGGCGACATGTGGCCCGCCAGCCGCGCACTGCTGCACCTCCTCTGCGACAGCGGCCGTTTCCCAGGAGAGGCGCCCCTCGCTGGCCAGCGGGTGGCGGAGCTCGGGGCCGGCGTGGGGCTGCCCGGCATGGCCTGCGCGCTGCTGGGCGCGGAGGTGGTGCTGACGGACGAGGAGAGCCAGAGGAACGCAACCCTGGACCTCCGCCTGCCCTCGCTGCCAGGCCATGCACGCACCCCCTGCGGAGCAGTGGCTCCCGTCCCTCGGCCCTGGCCCTGCCTCCCCCCTCGCGAGCCAGGAGAAGGTCTTGGGCGTCACCCGCGAGAACATCCTGGTGAACTTCGGGGAGGACCCCGAGGACCCCGACTTCGCCCGTGGCCGGTTGGCGCTCCCAGGAAGAGTGTCGGCCAGGGAGAACGCGGAGGAGGAGGAGGGAGGATGAGGAGGAGGAGGAGGATGATGAGGAGGAGGATAAGAAGGGGAGGAGGAGAGGAGGAGGAGGAGGGATTTTGATGATGATATTGTTGCTGCTGATGATGTTGATGATGCTGATACTGATGATGATGATGATGATGATGCTGCTGCTGATAATAATGATGATGATGATGATGATGATGATGATGATGATGATGATGCTTACGATAACGATGCTGATTATGACTATGCTGATGATGCTGATGATGATGACGAAGCTGATTATCACTCTGATGATGTTGATGATGATGCTTACGATGATGATGATAATGCTGATGATGATGCTGATGATGATGAGGACGATGATGATGATGATCATGATGCTTATGATGATGGTGATGATTATGATGATTATGAGGAGGATGAGTATGGTGATGATACTCATGATGATGATGATGATAATGCTGATGATGATGATGATGATCATGCTGATGATGATGATCATGATGATTATGACGATGATGCTGATGATGATTACGATGACAATGACGGTGACGATGACGATGACGATGATGATGATGATGATGATGATGATGATGATGTTGATGATGATGATGATGATGATGATGCTGATGATGATGATGATGATGATGATGATGATGATGATGATGATGATGGTGGTGGTGGTGGTGGTGATGGTGATGATGATGATGATGATGATGATGATGATGATGATGATGATGACGATGATGATGATGATGATGATGATGATGATGATGATGATGATGACGATGCTGATGATGATGCTGCTGATGATGATGATGCTGAGTCTCCAAATAGGCTTGCCCTATAGGAGTCCTAGCTCAAACTCTACTCATCGGTCCGTTGCCCCCCCTAATGCCTATGCCCCCCCCTGATTCCTATTGCTATGCCTATGCCTATGCCTATGCCTATGCCTATGCCTATGCCTATGCCTCCTCCCTAACTCCTATGCCCACGCCTATGCCTATGCCTTCTTACTTGCGTGCTTGCGTGCTTGCTTGCGCGCTTGCACGCTTGCACGCTTGATTGCTTGCTTGCTTGCTTGCTTGCTTGCTTGCACGCTTGCTTGCTTGCACGCTTGCTTGCTTGCTGAGTTGCGGATTCAAAGCATGCTCGATTCCTCTGGTTCCTTGATCTGAGTCGTCTAATCTATTTGGGGTCAACGCTGGCTGATCTGATGATGGTGATGCTGCTGATGATGATGATGCTGATGATGTTGATGAGGATGATGATGATACTGATGCTGATGATGATGCTGATGCTGCTGCTGATGCTGATGCTGGTGGTGATGGTGATGATGATGCTGCTGCTGCTGATGATGATGATGGTGATCATGATGACGATGACGCTAATGATGATGTTGATGATGATACTTACGATGGCGATGACGATGATAATGATGCTGATGATGATGTTGACGATGCTGAGGATGCTGTTTCTGCTGATGATGCTGATGAGGATGATGCTGATGATGCTGATGATGATGATGGTGATGATGGCGGTGGTGCTGGTGGTGAAGATGATGATGATGAGGATGAGCAGGAGGAGGACGAGGATGATGATGGTGATGCTGATGATGCTGATGCTGATGCCGCTGGTGGTGATGATGCTTCTGATGATGATGCTGCTGATGGAGACGAGGTGATGCTGATGCTGATGCTGCTGATGATGATGATGATGCTTCTGATGATGATGCTTCTGATGATGCTGCTCATGAAGATGATGTTGATGATGATGATGATGACGATACTCATGCTGATGCTCATGATGATGCTGATGATGTTGATGATGATGATGATGATGACGATGCCTACGATTACGATGATTGATGACGGTGACGATGATGCTGCTGATGATGCTGCCGACGATGCTGATGTTGATGATGATGACGATGATACTGATGATGATGTTGATGATGCTTACGATGACGATGGCGGTGATGATGACGATGCTGATGCTGCTGATGATGCTGATGCTGATGCTGATGATGATGATGCTGATGATGATGACAATGGTGATGCTGATGATGCTGATGATGATGCTGATGATGATGATGATGATCATGCTGATGATGATGCTGATGCTGCTGATGATGACGATGACGCCGATGATGATGCTAATGATGATGATGCCGATGATGAGGATTATGTTGCTGCTGATGATGATGCTGCTGATGATGATCATGAGGATGAGGATGAGGATGAGGATGAGGATGAGGATGAGGATGAGGATGAGGATGAGGATGAGGATGATGATGATGATGATGATGCTGATGATGATGATGATGATGATGATGATGATGATGATGATGATGCTGATGGTGATGCTGATGCTGATGCTGATGCTGATGCCGCTGATGCTGCTGATGATGAGGATGATGAGGATGATGATGGTGGTGCTGATGCTGCTGGCGATGATGATGATGATGAGAGGGGACATCTGCAGCGGGGTGTCCGCCACTCGCCCCTCGCTCCTCCCTCGCCCGTCCCCCTCGCCCCTCGCCCTCGCCCCTTGCCCTTGCTCCTCGCCCTCGCCCCTCGCTTCTCCCCCTCCCCCTCGCCCCTCCCTCGCCCGTCCCCCTCCCCCTCGCCCCTCGCCCTCGCCCCTCGCCCTCGCCCCTCGCCCATACCCCTCCCCCTCGCCCCTGCCTCGCTCTTCCCTGCCACAGCTCCCGCGGCCGCTCCTCGTCTTCGGGAGGGCAGGGCGGCCGCGGGGCGTCGCTGGCGCCTCGGCCGCGGGCGGCCGGTGCAGCGCGGCCGCGCTGAGCTGGGGCGAGGACGTGTCCCGCCTGGGGCCGCCGTTCAGCCACGCGCAGAGGGGGGCAGGGGGAGGGGGGAGGGCTTCTTAGGCGCACCCATGCTTCGTAGAAGGCGCGGGCCTGATCCGTTGATGCAGGACTGGCGTCTTTGAGAAGCAGCCTCCCTCTAGGAAGCCTCCCCCCCTCCCCCTATCCCCTTGTGCGCGCCGCCAAGCCGTTCGACTGGGTCCTCGGCGCGGACATCTTGTGCCCTCTTTCTTCTACTTCCTCCTGGTCTGAACTGGTCTGGTCGTGTGCACCCACGTGGGGCGCGTTGTGGCGATATCCTGCGCAAAGCGCATTCGTGGCTCCGTCCCACTTGGGGCTTTGGTAATGGGCCCGTGTCGTGCGCGCGCCCGCAATTGCGAAACAGTTCTCAGGGCCCCCGGAGCGCCGCGCCTGCCTCCTCGCCCAATGGCGGCGCGCAAATGCTCGGCACAATCGCGCATGCCTATTCCAACTGCGCCTCCAGCTTTCGCCCCCACATAACCTTCTGGTGGCCCGGCGATGGCGAAGAGGCAAACGACGGCAATGGAGACGAAGCCGACGGCAACGACGACAGCGAAGGCGGCGGCGGCCGCAGAAGCCGGAGCGGCGACGGCAGCTCAGGCAACAACAGCGACGCCAACCGTACCGACGACGCCGACAACGGCGACGATAGAAGCAGCGGTGGCGGCAACAGCAACGGCCACGACGGAGGCGTCCACGACATCAGCGACGACGACGACGAATGGCGCCCCGAGTGCGGCGATGAGAGTCGGTCGACCCGAAGGGGGCGCCAGAGGAGGACGCCCCGAGAGGGGCGATGGATGATCCAGCACGCCCAATGGCAGGCGCAAGTGCGCGGCAGCCCTCGCCAATGCGTGCCCCGCAGATGCGGGCACGGAGGAGGAGGAGGAGGAGGAGGAGGAGGAGGAGGAGGAGGAGGAGGAGGAGGGGGAGGAGGAGGAGGAGGACGAGGAGGAGGAAGAGGAGGAGGAGGAGGAGGAGGAGGAGGAGGAGGAGGAGGAGGAGGAGGAGGAGGGAGGGAGGAGGGAGGAGGGAGGAGGGAGGAGGGAGGGAGGGAGGAGAGGAGGGAGGAGGGAGGGAGGAGGAGGAGGAGGGAGGGAGGGAGGAGGAGGAGGAGGAGGAGGAGGCCGAGGCGGAGGCCCTGGCCGGACAGCTGGTGGCTAGGTGGGGGCGGGAGCTCAGCGTAGCTTTCCACCGGGCCACAGCCCGACAGCTGCGCTCCGCCAGGGGCGCGGGCCGCGCCAGGCGGGCAGCTGAACTGCGGGTTGCTGCGGCGGCCTAGCTGCGCGGGGGGCGCGCCCGCTGGCCTCGCCTTCGCCTACTTCATCGTCGTGACGCCGCCGAAGTTCAGGGGGTAGAGTAGTGCGTGTGTTGAACAGACTTTGTTGGGCTGTGTCAGGAGGAGGAGGAGGAGGAGGAGGAGGAGGAGGAGGAGGAGGAGGAGGAGGAGGAGGAGGAGGAGGAACCGCCAGTGCAGGACCCGCCAGTGTGGACGGAGGACGACGGTGCCGCCCTCAGCCGCGCGACCCGCGCCGCAAGCCAGCGCCCCAGGTCCCGCCCGGCGCCCGGCCCCTCTGGGGCCACAGCCGAGAACACGTGGGCCCCAATGCGGGGTGGTGGTGCACGCGGAGCCGCTGCCAGGCCAGCCAGCCAACCCACCCGAGCTGGCAATCAAGATCCCGGCTGGCCACGGGGCGGCGTCGTCGCCCACGCCGTCTCCATCAGAGCCACGCTCCGAGAAGAGGCCGCCCAGGAGCAGCCCGTTCACGGCTCGCGCAGCCGAGGCGCCACCCAGGGCCGAGTGCAGCGCCGACCGCAGGTCTTCGGCGCCCACGCGCAGGCAGCGCTGAGAGCCGCGCCCCGGCATGGCCGCGGCGGAAGGGAGGAGGGGGGCAGGGGTGGAAAGAGGGGCAGAGCGCGTTGCTCGACTTACTTGAGCCTCGCCCTTGAGCCACAGCGGTTGCTCGGCGAGGGGGCGGAGGAAACGCGAAGGGTGGACGCCCCCTTCCAGATACTCCTACTACTCCTCATCTGCATCATCGTCCTCTGCCTCCTCATTTCCTCTCCCTCCTCTTTCTTCTTCCTATCCATCAATCCATCAATCAATCAATCCATCGATCGATCAATCTTACCGCCAGGGCGAATGGTACGCAGCCCAAGCGGAAAACGTGGCGAGAACATGTGGGACCGTGCGGCAGTGGCTTGCCCCGCGCGCCGATTCCCCAGGAATCCACATCCCCCTCAAGGACGTCGGGCGCGCGAGGACAACCCTGACCTGCAAGCAGCGCGCGCGCGGGACCAAAACCGGACAGTTAGCGACAGACGCCGATGTGACTTGCGGAGCAATCGTTGAAGCGGCAAAAGACATCAGCAAATGCCAGGGTGGATTGGCACAGGGTGTCGAAGTGCAGGAGGGTCCCTCCCCATCCCTCACTGGAAATGATCGGCCCCGCGACGCACTCCAAACGTGCTTTAAGTGGGCAGTGAATCGCCAACGTCGTGAGACGGGAGCCTGCCTTCACGCGGAACAGACATGAACCCGCTTCGGCATTGGTTTGGGAGAGAAGGGGGGACATGCAAATAATGCTCCACCCCGAAACGTGGTCATCCTGAGAGGGCTGAGGGTGCGCAAAGATGCCAGGGACACCCAATGTCTACGCGACCGAGAGGATGTGGGAGACCGACAGCAATCAACGATAATCCCCAAAGGTCAGCTTCCAACGTTCTTCGCCAAGAACGGCCAGACCCGAGATTCCACGGTTCGGTCCAAGAACGTAGGGTAGCGCTGGGCCCGCCCATCCTGTGATGCAGGAGAGTGGGCGACGATGGGGGCAGCGATGATCCCCGCGACATGGCCTCCCTTGATGAGCGTAGGGGCTTTCTCATCTTGGCTCGCTCAGCACTCGTGGCCACTGGGGGGCCAAACGGGGTCAAGATCAGATGTTATCATCCAAGCGCGCCGCGCCTCCCTGGCAACGCGCCCGCGCTCCTTCTCGGCGCCGATGAAGAGCGCCAGACAACGGTTATCAAGGAGGGGGGGGGGGGGGGCGCGTGGGGGCGTCCAAGGTCCAGGGGCTGCGGCCAGGGCGGGGTTCAAAACAGGAGGGGGCGGCGGGGGGCCCAGTCACTTTGCAGTGGCAGAGGGGCTGGGAATCCGAACTCAGGCTTCGAAGCGCACTGGGGCGGCGAGCCCTTGGCCCGCATTGCGCCCCGATTCAGCCTGGCCAACGGCCGCGAAGCTTCAGACTCTTCGTCGCGCAGCATGGCCCCCTGGAACTGTTGGCCAGGCAGCGCGACCTAGCACGGGCAGGATGCTTAGCAAAACGAGCGAGTCCCTGAAGGTCACGCATGCAGAGGTTGCAGCGCGATCCCACCGCGCACTCACGCGGGGCCGGCTCTCCCTTGCGGAACATGGCGAGATGAATCTTCAACGGTGCGGGGCTTCAGACTCGACCGAGGGCCCGCTCGCGAAATTCAAAGCCGAGCGCGGGGCGGGGGGGGGGGGGGGGGGGCGGGGGGCGGGGGGCAGAGAGGGGGGGCCGCTCACGGGGGGTGCCCAAAACAGCTGGCTTGCGATGGCCGCCCCCGAGCACGACAGCATATCTGCTCTTCGCGTGGCGCGTGGCCTGTTCAAATGTTGTCTGAAGGAGACTCTTGAAGGCGCGCGGGCCGCGCTGCAGGCGGCCCGCGTGCCACTTGGGTCTTGCGACAATTCCGAATCCAACAAGTCACGCAGAAACGGGCGGCGGGGGTGGCGATGTGATCTCGGGGTCCACTGGCCTCCTGTTGCGAGGCGATTGTATTCGAGGGGGGGGGGGGCGCGGTGTTTGCGCAGTCGGAGGAATTCGCGAATTCAATAGGGGTCGGAATTCAAACGCCTCGAAGAAAGCGCGCTCACCCGAATCGAAAGCGTTGTTATATATGCAGACCGCTGATCTGCTGACATCGTCGCCCTCCCCCTTGCCCCCGCCCCCTTTCTCTGCCCCTTGGATGAGGCGGCGGGCGGCCGCGGCTCCAGCGGGGCAGCGCCCTTCTCACCCTCCACCTTATTCCTCGCTCCTCTTCTCTGCATTCCTGCTCCTCCATCCGTCGCCCACCCTGCCCCCCCCTTGCTCCATGACGGCAAGTGATAAGGCGGTGCGCCCGCGTTCGCATTGCGCCGCCCGTTCGATATCCGAGCGCAGCGAACCTGCCGAGCGGGGGGCGTGGCCAACGGCCGCCAAACGCAGCCGCAGCGCTATCGCGCGAAGTTTCTGGCGCCCGCGGCGCCGTCCGTCGCCGCGCCGGCGCGGCGGTCGGTGCGGCGACGCTTCGGGTTATATTTGCTCAGGCGTCCGTGACACGTGACATCTGTCATGTTGTCGGACTTGTGCATGGCCATTTTTTGGGGGCCCCTCGAGGCCGCGCGGGGGCGTCTGGGGCCGTCGGGGGCAGATTTGGCGCCGCGTTCCACGGTGGCCGCCCCGGGCCGGGGGCGCGCGCGTGGGTGATCCCTGGGGGCCGCCCAGGGCCATGGAAGCGTGCGTCCGCATTCCCCCTTAGCGGGGGGCGTCGACTTCGGTTCTGGTTCGGCGAAGTAGGGGCGTTTTCGAGGTGGCGAGCTTTAATGTTGTCCGAAGTGATCTGCGCGCGCAGTTTGCGTCTTGAGCTGTGTGCTTGCGAGTGCGGATCCGCCCTCTACGCGGGTCGCGGCGTGATCTGCGCGCGCAGATCGTGCTCCAATCGGCGCATTGGGAGTGTGCCCCTCGCGTGTGGCGCGGTGACTGAGCGGGGGCTGCCGCGTTTCTCTCGGCGGTTGTCGCGCGCTGTTCGCGACCCCAACTGCGCGCGCGCTGCCGGCTACTCGCTGGAGTTGCCGCTGGGCGGGGGTCGCCGCAGATCTTCTTGCTGGTCGCGGAGGGGGCTGCGGTTTGGGAGGGCAAACGGCGCGGGCGCCGGGGGGCGATGCGCCGCGGGGGCGGGGTGTGGGGGGGCGAGAGGAGAGGTGGCGACGGGGCCGCGGGATGGAAAGGGGGGCGATGAGGGGGGGGGTCGGGGGGGGGATTCAGCGTTGGCGTCGGCGGTCGCTGGGTCGAGGAATGCGAGATGCGGGAGAGGGTGGGGGGGTGGGGGGGGGGGGCGGCGGCGGCGGCGGCGGCGGCGGCGGCGGCGGCGGCGGGGGCGGGCGCGGGGCGGGGCGGGCGGGGGGGGTGGGGCGG